CTTCCTTCGGGAGGGAGCCCAAGAGGAGAAGGCGAGCGCTGCCTGGTCGGAAGGGCGCCCAGCCGCCGAGGTGATTTCCTTCCAATTCACCAATAAAATCTCCTCCCGTCGCTTCGAGGCTTATTCAAACGCCTGTCCTGGCCGACTCCTGACTGTGAGAACAGATCGCGGAGTGGCAGGCGCGGCGCTTATCTGCAGAAGGACTTCACTGACAGGGAGACGTACCTCTCTGCAGAGGGTGCTGGTTTCTAGCTCTAAATTTCGCGGACAGCACTTGGATAACCTGAAGTCACCACCATCCACCCGTATAGTTTCCGAAAAATCGAAATTGTGCGTGCGAGCGTGTTTTAAATGAATGCGACTTAAAGAGAGACGATTAGAGATTGAAAATTAAATCAGGAAAATCATCGGAGCAATCTAGAGTTTTTGCAAAATGTTTATACTTTGAGCATTGCTCTGAATGGGTACTATAGTTGAATATTAGATTATTTGTTCAATCAACATTTTGGCTGAATGCAAATGTGAAACAATGTGTAAGAGCTACAAAGAGTTAATTTAGTCCACCTTCCAAAAAGGTAGTTGAATTCGTTTTTTTGATTTGCAGTAATTAGATTTTATCATGTAAATTCATTGCTGCCCTATTTTTATATATACTTTTCAACAGGATAAGTGAAAAAAAAAAAAAGACAAATTTGACTGGGCAAGGTTTTTTTTTATAGCAAAATAAATCAGATGTTGAAGGAAATACATAAAGTACATTAAAATGAATTATATATTTAACAGTGTTTACTTCAACTGAAATGGAGTAATTTTCAATAATCTTCACAATCAGTTTAAATTTGATTTAATGGATTCAAAATTATTGCATCTAGAATTTTAATTAAATATAACTAGATCACATTTTGATTAATATACATTATTTTCAATTTAGTGGAAGATAAAATGAATTAATATTGTGTTTTTCTTTTAAATATCTATTATATTCACTCAAATGGTGTTTGTACCTACTCAGATGAAAATGGACTTTAATTTGTAAACACAGGGAAACTGTTTTAATTTTAAAAAGTTTAGAGTTACCCATGAATGTCCATTTCAAATTTTAAAATATAGCCATGTTTTTGGCATTTAGGAGTGTGTTTTAAACATCTTGCCCATAATTTATCTAAACTGAAGTCATGTGTACAATAAAATAAAGTATGTTCAAGAGACACTAGAAAGTGCAGCCTGCTATACATTTCTGCTTTTCAGGATCTTGAGGCTGTGTTTCTTTCTTAATGCTTAAATTGTATAAACTCTTTTGGAAACAGTCTGTTTTATCTGTTGCTTGTCACTCTGAGTCACTTCATAATATCAAATTTCCTGTTGGAATTGTGTGGAACATTAGTTATGTAGATACCTATTCATTCGTTTTACAGTAAACCCTGAATTTAGCAGATGAATGGAGAGAAAGATTGTCTGTTAAAGCTGCATATCTGTTAATTGGTGAATTGGATTTTTGGAGTGCCCAACCACCAGAAATGTACTTTACTGATAACGACGAATGCTAATTTCATGGGAAGCAGTGAACATTATCTTGACTGATTTGCTAAATAATGAACAATGCTATTTCTATCTGAAATATGGGCAGAACTCTGATCCACCAACTTTTGCCTGTTAAGTCTGAAGTCTGCTAGAACAAAATTTGTTAAATAAATGACTACTATATGTGAAAAAGTACTCATGTGTTTCATGTTATTTCCTACACAAAAGTAACTTCTATGTTGCATATTTCTCTCATAGGAATGCCTTTGAATCTTTCATCCATGAGTGAAATATCTAATCTACATGATAAAGTCATTGAATAGCACAGGAAGATGCTGCTTTACTAAGATTTTGAAGTGACACTTCATTTGGGCCTGTGGCAGTATTAGAAATATGCCCAATAATTTCGTAAACTTGCATACGAGTTAGAAAAGTGCAGTAGTTGGCAATCCACATAAACCGCTTGCCTTGCACCATCCTTCCCTCACCTCTTTCCTTCCAACACAAATGCAGGGCCCATACAAGGGCATAACTCGAAGCTCTCTGAGTTCCTAGGCAAACTTCTCATTTGTTCTGGTGCCCGTGGACTGCACCCACAAGTTGCTTTTAGGGAGCATCAGTCGCAATGGCACCTCACACTCTCTCGTGCATGGAGCAATGCAGGCAGGCTAAGCGGGTGCTAGTGCTATTAGATCTGCACTGGAAAAATCCAGATGACTGTTCGATGACAAAAAATAGAGTTTTCTATAGCTCTTTGCTGTCTTATAATTGTCACCTAAGTCAGTATGCTCCAGTCCATACTAGTTGTCACCCTAGCCCATAGCCTGCTTCTACCTACTAATCTGTGCCCCACCCATGGTTCCATCCTAGGAAAATTCCTGGATGATTCTGGCCATGCATGTAGCATAACACCAGGTCTGGCTTTTTTAAGAGTGAAGGACAAGATTTGGGCCCCTGGGCCTATGGGCCCCTAGGCAGCTGTACCCCTTTCTTGACGATATTTAGCTGCTCTTCCATTTCCCCAATTAAGCAGTAATATTAAACTACCAGTAACTTCAAGGCAAAGGCTTCCATAAAGTAGTCAACAATGTACATGCTTTTTGTTCCTTCAAGTATGACAAAGTTATAAATATAGGGTATGGTATATAAGAGAGCCAGTTTGGTGTAGTTGTTAAGGCACTAGGCTAGAAACTGGGAGACTATGAATTCTAGTCCTGCCTTAGGCACAAAGCCGGCTGGATGACCCTGGGCCAGTCATTCTCTCTCAGCCCTAGGAAGGAGACAATGGCAAACCATTTCTGAAAATCTTGCCAAGAAAATTGCAGGTACTTGTCCAAGCAGTTGCCAGGAGTCAACCTTGGTTCAAAAGCACCTAAAAAAAAAAGTATGTGAGCATAAGAAAAAATGAACCTTGCCAACTACATATGCCTTCTGTTAACAGACATTAATTCACATATTTGAATCTTTTGATCTATACTCATGAGGTCTAAATATATAGAGTTGACTGAAAATAGAAGCTAAGATTCTTATGACTATGAATACTCCACTATTTAAAAAAAAAAAAAGAAACACCTCTAAATATGAATCTGTAGATCCTGGCAATAGCTTGGCATTTTTCCAAGTCCCCAATAGTTCATATGCTTTATCGATTACAAAATGCTACTCATTTCCTAACAATCAGATAAATAGCAACTGCAGTTCTTGCAGTTTGATGCATGTTTTCTTCTTAAGATGACTTAGTTTACTGGGAAAATATTTGCCTGAGGGATGAATTATAAATCACACAGTGCCACATAACTAAACAGATTATAGATAGAAGGGTGGAATAATAATAATAACAAGAAGAACAATATTACACCTTTCTATAAACTTATGTCCTATGTGTATTAAGCAACAGTTCCAAAATTTGGAAACCAGTAAGTTGAGAGAGATTCAAAGAACAGTTTTTGATAAGCTCTTTGAGTTCCCACTGTGCCATTTAGCCATCTATTTAACTGGTTTGCTATTTTAAAAACTATTTTTGTTTTAACAGTAGAAATTAGTAATTCTACCTACTGACAGTTGCATAAATACTCAAACCATGGACCCATACATATGTTTTGTTCACTGGATAACTCTTATTAAACCTACTAGGAATTTTGAATCTTGTACTGAGTTTGATACAAGAGCCTCCAAAGGTTGCTGAAAATTAGTTACAAAACAGCTTGTAGGGACAAAATAAAGAAAGTGGTCATAGGACAATGCATATTCAATGAGTTTAAGAACACTTAACTCTCTTTTAACCAGTAATTTGTTTCTTTATTCTCTGAATTCGCTATGTATTTTCTGCAGTGATTTCTAATACTTCATATACTTGGAAACAAAATTTTCCTCTTATATGACAAGATATATATTTCTTGGAATATAACAACAGAAAGTACAGTCTCTACAGCAAGGATAAGCAATGTTGTGCCTTCCTAGTTGGACTACAATTATCACAGGCTTCTGCATTCACCATGATGACTGGGGCTAATGGAAATTAAGCTCAGCATATCTAGGTAGCACCAGGTACTTATAAATATAAATACATTACAAACTAAAGAACATGTTTAAAAAAAAAAAACGAACATTATATCTAAATATATCCTGCTGTTTCACTGAATTGTTTGCAAGCCAGAGGCAGGCATTTATGTCATTAACTTTATTTCTCACTATTAGCAATCTGGATTTGTTCATTAATTCAACTGTGATACAGATGAGGGTCTACACATTCTTCTCAGCCACCTTTTTCCCCTAAGAATCAGTGTATGAAACTGTGTATGAACTTTTTTATCTTCTGTCAAGATTTCATATGTTGATTCTTCTGTGATTCTTTCCACTGTATGTCTATAGTATGTCTAAAGAGGATGGCATACTATAATATATATTAGAATCAATAGTAAATTTGGGTCTCTAGCAAAGTATTCATACTGTTTCAGTTTCTCATAAAAGAAGACAAATAGGTTTCTGCATTATTAAAATAGCACATTGATTCTCAAGTTCATTAAATATTGTAAAACTTTACTTAAATTCCATACTACCAAGTGGCTGAGAATCTCTACCAGCAAAGTCAACATTTTTGTATAACCTAATAAGATAAGGATTAGGATCCTTTGATTAATATTTTCCTTCATTTTATCTGGTTTCTGCATGCACTGGCTTTCAATAGTTACACATACATTGATAAATATGGCTAGATTGTGGTATCGTGAAATTACACATACATATGAGAGTTGCAAGGTGCCATTTTAATTACTTTAATCATAACTGATAGTGGTTAATAAAATCAAAAGGTAAGCTAAAATAAAATCATATAAAAATACTTCAATGCAATGTATGTACTGTACTTTAAAAATTGAGCACTATAGCGTCACAATATAAACACATAAACATAATTAGGAACAACTACCTTCTCCAATAGACACCTTTATAGAAAACTATGAGGATCATTAATTAAGGATGACATTTCAGACCAGTAGGACAATTACATAACTTCTCAGTCTTTTTTAATCTCCTAAAGCAAAGCATCTAAGACACAGAATGAAACTGCTTTAGAATTCCATATATTACCAGAGCATTACCAGATGTGAATTTAGATCTGCTCACCAAGCCACTTCATTTGATGCCATTAATGCCACTGATCGGTTGATGCGACTGATGGATACTTACCCACCTTCTAGATCCCAGCTTCTCCTGCTGCAATCACAAGATTTTAACTCAATGTGGAACCACCATTGCAAGCAATGAATGGCTTTGAAGAATTATATGCATTTCACACTATTGTATTGCACGGGGTGATGTGTGAGGGCTTTGGAAGGGACATCCTGTTCATCCTGTCACCACCTTCTGCTCTCCTCACGGAGCAACTGTGCAGCAAGATTGGGTAAAGAGATCAAAACACAGAACTGTCATGCCAGGAGATATGCCACCATAATGGACAGAAGAAGCACTTGCTATTTTACTTACACTTACTTACACCTCTTTTCTTGTGAGGAGCAATGCACTTCATTACTGGTGAATAGCTAAGCTGTGATTAACTGTTGGTTGAGTGTGGCATATTCACACAGAAGTAAACCTATCCATTCCAGGACAGTCCTGGTAACTTAAATAACAGAATAGCTCACATGAGCCCTGCTTCATTTTAATTGGGATTACTTGGGTGGAAGAAAGTCTGATTGTTTGAAAAAAGCAAGTCAGCCCCATGGAAAGATTTTGCACCAGCACTTTACATTCAGCAAGAAACTAAACAGCAACTGTTTTTAACTGTTGCAAAATCAGCCAAACATGGCTTTGGCTTCACCTTCTAATACCAACTAGGACAGTGTTGTTTTTGGAGCATGCCTGGTTGAACAAGTCTGCATTAAGAGCTTGGCAGCTGCAGTTTAACCCAGCTATGGCTGCTGGATTCTTTTAATGGGATCTCAATATACTCCATATTTTAATAGTCTTTTTAAAACGAATTGGCCTGCCAGGTGTTCCATCCACTTTCCACAGAATGAAGGTAGACCAGGGAAATAGAAGCTATGTGTAGATCTGTAATTCTTTGAAAATGGTTTAAATTCACTTTTTTGTTCTCCTGAAAAGAAATATAGTTTATTACCAACTTCTCAAAAGATTTCTGCTTGCAGTTTGAGAGAGTAGTCTGAATATCTTTTCAGGAATTATAGATTTCAGCACTAAGTGAAAACATAAATTAGCCTTCTCCAACCTGGTGTCTTCCAGATGTGTGAAGTCTGCAGTTTCAAGAATTGCAGGGCTTCAGGTCATGTCATATGCAACTTTGAGAGCTTCATTCCCAGCATACCTATAGCCTATATATCTGACAGCCTTTAAGTGTGATCCATTCTGAATCAGCAATAGTAAACATGTAAGCTAAAGTACCAACCATTCTAGAAACCTCTGGCAAGATGGTCTGAAATAGACCATGTTGATCATTTATTTTCTCAGATGTGTTTCTGCTACTGTAGTGAATAGGCATCCTCCCACCCCAAATTCATTGACCGCCAAATGTACATAGAATCTACATCTGCATGAGAAACAGTTGTATGTCCTGGGTCATGAACAAAATCAGACTATTCAAACCCCTCCCTTTCCCCATGAAAGAAAAATGGCTTGTCTTTTTAAAACAAAGGAATAAATTGAGAATCAAGGCTGAGAAAAGAAAAAAGACTCCTTCCATCTCTCCAGCAACCTGAGAATTAAAGGACTGGAAGTCTCTCAGGGATCTAGAAGGGACGCCAGGAAAATAGAGATCTGTTTAAGGAAAAATGACTATTTTTGATAAAATGTAAGAAAGTTTAGGTAGTTATTTTGCATAAGATTACTTTTAATTTGAATGTGGGGGTTTAAAACTAATTTATTTTTCTCTATATACAGGTAAAGTCCTTCTGGATTTTATGCAAATTGGTAGCTTTTTATATCAGATTTCCTTAATATTAGTAGCAGGTCTATCATCTTGT